CTCTGGAAACCAGAGCCCTGGGGTTGAGATCCACTCTCTCCCAGATATTTGTCACAGCATCTCTGAGCAGGTTGACTGAAAATCTCTAAATGTATCATAAATATGGCAGGAGTGGTGGGGGTGGGTGGGGAGGTTCCTTGTCTATTCCTGGAAGGATTATCACAAGTGGCATTCTTGAATCTGTTCAACGTTCAGGTGAGAACTGGTAAGTAGTGAGTGACAGAAAGAATCCAAACATCTCCCTCGATATTCAACAACATTGCTAAATCTTCCACCATGGGGCATGTCACTGACCAGACACCAAACTGGACTAGCGATATTAGTATCGTGGCTACAACAGCAGGCCTGAGGCTGGGAACTCTGCTGCAAATAAATCACCTTCTGTCTCCCTGATGCCTGTCCACACCTTACAAGGCACAAGCCAGGAGTGTATTGGAGTACTCCCCACTTCTCTGGATGAGTGCAGTTCCAAGAACACTAAGAAAGCTCGAAATCTTTGAAGACAAAGCAGCTCATACGATCTGTACCTTCAACGTCTGCTCTTTTCATCATCGACACATAGGGGCAGCGGTGTCTGCTGTCTGTAACAGGGTGCCCCATAGTCGGGGGTCAGGGCCCCAAGATGGAGCCCCAGATGAAATTTTGGGGATGCAAACTCTAGGGCACCAACGGTTGCCATAGAGATCTAAGCTATGTTCCGCATTTACTAGGCTCCCACTCTCTGTATCTCCCCCACCCTCCCATCCCACTCTTATAGTCCTTGCTGAGAAGTCATGGCACTCAAAATGGAATCACAGCGGGAAACTGTTTGGAGAGCACTGATCTACAAAATGTGCTGCAAGAGAAAACCAAGACTCTAAACTCTCAGTCTCTACCCCTAGAAAAAAGGCAGCTGATGTATAGGGACATCACCAACTGCAAGTTGCCCTCCCAACCACTCACCACCCTGAATTGTAGCTATATCGCTGCTTTTTCACTGTTGCTAACCTAGGAACTCCCTCCCCAACAGTACTGTCAGTGTCCCTAATTAGTAAAACATACTAATGGACTTCAGCAGAGGCTCACCACCACTTCTCAAGGGCAATTATAGATGGGCATTAAATGCAAGTCAAGCCAGTAATGCTCACATCTGTGAATGAATGGGTAAAATAAAGCTGGGCTCTCAAGACTAACTGTTGGCCAATACCACATGTTCGAAACAATGTTCCCTTTCAGAAGGTCTGCATACATCGATCGCTGTGCAGATGCATTTACCTCTGATTTCGGAAGGCATGGACCTCGGAGATCCTTGCAGGAAAGATTAGAGGGCATATAGGTCAGAAGAAGCTCAATGGTCCAACCCAGGTGAAATAATTTCAACACCGAGCCACACTAAGGGCTATTTTGGCAAGGTGGTTTGATAGCAGCTGTAGAACCAAATTGCCAACAAGTCTCACCATCTTCAGGACTCAGGGGTCATGATGAAACATAACAACTAACAAAATATAAAATAGTTGCACAGGACTGTTGTATGAGGTCGTGAAAGCGTTAATGTTAGAGATTGCATTGAGCTCGATTGCATCTGACAATATCATTTAATACCATTTGGGTGGGGAAAAGGCAGAACAGCTTAGGACCCCATGGAGCGCAGACCTATATTCACACAGTTCCCAACAGTCTTCGTAACAATAAGTGGAATTGCCCCAGCCCTGATCAACGTGGGCATTGGTGAGAAAGTTGAGAAAATCATGTGAGATGACCAGTGAGTAGCTCCTCAATGGCAAGAGCAGAAAATTCCATTTTCCAACCAAGTGTTGGAAGGTGGGAACAGTGAGCAGCTAGGGAATTCTTCGCATGCATTAGCATGTATTAATGTCCTCTTTATTACTGCATCTCTATTCATTGCTATGCAGGTTCTCTCTCCTACCTGCAGGATAGAAACAAGATGGTGACAATTCCTAACAGGAAAGTAACCTAGTCCATAACCAGCAACTCCAGCTCACCTCTTGCTCTCTTGGACCTCAGTCTTGGACACTGGGCACCAACACCTCAGGACATGTTCTGTAAGCAGTGACCACATGCATCCCCTCTCCACCAGGACCTTTGGCTGTCACTGAGGTGGGTGCTAATTTCCATCTGTTTGACATTTCGGTGATATTTGACAGGAACGTGCAGGGCAACTGTAGACTGCCAGCGCTTAACCAGCTGGGTTTCAATTATGGCGCTGGCACCAGGAATCCCAGCAGTGACTAATATCTCCGCTTGTGGCATGTGAGAGAATAATCCAGGAAATTATAGGCCAGTCAGCCTTTCATCAGTGGTAGGGAAATTACTGGAGAAGATTCTTAGAGACAGGATTTACTGGCAACGGATTTATTAGGGATGGCCAGCATAGCTTTATGAAGGGGAGGTCTTGTCTCACAAATCTGATGGAGTTTTTTGAGGAAGTGACAAAGATGATTGATGAGGATAGAACAGTGGATGTAGTCTTTACTGAAGCATTTGACAAAGTTCCTGATTCCTGGTTCACAAGATTAAGTCACGTGGGATCCATGGTGAGTTGCTAAGTTGGATACAAAATTGGCTTGGTCGTAGAAGACAGAGGGTAGTTGTGGAGGTGTGCTTTTTCAACTGGAGGTCTATGGCCAGTGATGTTCTGCAAGGGTCAGTGCGAGGACCTCTGTTGTTTGTAATACATATAAATGATCTGGATGAAAATTAGTATGTTTTACTAATTAGTAAGTTTGCAGATGACACAAAGGTTGGTGGAATTGTTGATAGGGATGAAGGTTATCAAAGGATACAGCAGGAGATAGATCAGTTGGAAAGTTGGGCAGAGAAATGGCGTTTATGGAGTTTATTCTGGACCAGTGTGAGATGATACATTTTGGGAGGTCAAATGTAACAGAAAAGTATACAGTAAATAGTAGGACCCTTAGGAGCATTGATATACAGAGGGATTTTGGTGTGCAGGTCCATAGCTCCTTGAAACACAAGTGGGTAAGATGGTAAAGAAGGCATAAGGCATGTTTGCCTTCATCAGTTGGGGCGTTGAGTATACAGGTCGGCAAGTCATGTTGCAGCTGTGTAAAACTTTAGTTAGCCCACATTTGGAGTGTTGCATGCTGTTCTAGTTGCCACACTATAGGAAGGATGTGGAGACTTTGGAGAGGGTGCAAGAGAGGTTTACCAGGATGTTGCCTGGGTTGGAGTGTATTAGCTATAATGAGAGGTTGGATAAACTTGAATTGTTTTCTTTAATATCAGAGGCTGAGATGTGACCTGATAGAAGTATATAAAATTATGAGAGGCATGCTTGGCTGGAAGTCCTTTTCCCAGGGTGGAAATGTCAAGTACTTGGGGGCAGAGGTTTAATGTGAAAGGGGGAAAGTCTAAAGGAGATGTGCAAGGAAAGTTTTTTATACTGAGGGCAGTGTCTGCCTGGAACACACTGCCAGGGGAGTTGGTAGAAGCAGTTACAATAGCAACCTTTAAGAGGCATCTGGATAGACAAACGAACAGGTGGGAATAGAGGGATATGGATCAAGTACAGCCAGATGGGATTAGTTTCAAATGGTGTCATGATCAGCACAGACATAGTGGGCCAAAGGGCCTGTTACTGGGCTGTACTGTTCTATATTTTATGATAAGCAGGATGTCATAAGGAATGGTGCATGGGTAATGCAGCGAATTTGGGAAGAAAGCACAGGAAAACCTGCTAGACTCAAGGACAGATACCCTCCATGAAACTTGCCAAAGTTAAGAATAGCCACTCAGCTGATTTCAGGAAAGTTTCAGCCCAATGTTTATTCAGAACATGTAACCTGCACCTGATTCCTATTTTATAAGTTGGAACCATCTCGGATATCTTGGGTCGATTCACTTCCACCTTACCTTCTTAATAATTAAAGTCTAGACTACTGATACTATGTGGGGAAAGATGTCCATACAATATCTTCGGCAGAAGATAAGCTCAATTTTGATTGAATAGTACTCAATAGCTGGTTATATTACAACTACGTGATTGTCCCTTCTGGCTCAACCAAAGAGTAAATTCACATTACAGTTACTAAAATATTCTTATGCAGTATTGGTGACACACACAGAATTTTAAGAACTCTATAAAAGCTTTGGTTAGCTCCTTTCAAGTATAGTCCTTTATATCCTGATGGGTGGAGCAGATTTCATGACTTCAGTTAACCCTTTCAGATCCTAACTGTCTCAAACTACATCTTGTTAAGATAAGAGCCTCTTCTTGTTCAGACTCACTACTGGTTATTCCTCAACCACTGGAAACTAAATAGGCCCTTAGCCCCAGACAAAGAAAGGGGAACAGTGATGAGTGTTCTACCTATAAATATTACAAGGCTCACCCCATTTCAAACTGCTATAGCTACAAGGAAGAACAACAGGTTCAAACCACGAGTCATGTTGGCACTCAGTTCAGAGGCAAATGAACAGTGGAAGGTGGGGGGGTGGTTGGGGGACTCACTCCTTACGGGGATGAAGGAACAGAACAGTGGTTTTATCGTTTTAGAATAAATCCCTGACTAAGGTTCTATCTCAGGCCTGTTTTTAGCATGCAGTGCCGTGAGGTTTGACACCACTGGGAAGTGCAACGAGGTCAAAGGTCAGCCCTCTGGCACTTTTGGCCAGGTGTCGTAGATGAATGTCTGAGCAAAGGGACAACACTGGGTAAATGGAAACTTGAGCAGAAAGAAACAGCACATTATTGCACATTAGCACCCCCATCCCTCCCAAGTAAATACTGTGTGATGAACAGTTACCGCAATTCATATTGCCTTTCAATAACCCCTATTCTGTACATGGGGAGGAAGAAAATAGTCTGTTCTCTGTCTTAAAAGAAAGGTTGTTCAGTCTATGACAAGGCTCTGTATGACAATCTATTCCCATTAAATCTTTCTGCTGAAGTAATTAATTGCTGTTCAGTCCCGCTGCTGATTTATTCCAATACCCCAGACAGCCTCGTTGCCCTCATTCCCCCTTCTGCCCGCTGGTACCTGCTCTGGTGGGAAATTGTGCAGGAGCTGCCGGATATTGTTGCTGTACTGTGTCTGCCAATGTCTTCGGGCCCAGGCCACGCAGTCAGCCCAGCACTTGGGTTTGTCGGCATCCAGACTCTTGTAAACACCTTCCAGGATTTCGAAAGCTTGACCTTCCTGTAGCGTCATTGTATGATCAATAAAAGAAGGGTCCCTGTTTAATGTAGAGAGAAGTCAATTATCATGAGAGTTCAGACTTCAGTTAAGAAACAAGAAATAAGAAACTTATGCCGTAGTGTCAAATTGAGGGCAGACAGTTGGATGTGAAGGGAAACAGTGATTTTCTTTTAAGCTGAATTGCCAAAATAAGGAGTGTTGCATTCTTTACCTTTACATTTGACAGTGAAATACTGCAAATTAATTCAAGTTTTATCATTTACAATTGTATAAATAGCAAAAATGGTGAGAAATCTTCTGAGGTGGCCCTAATGTTCATACTTCCAATGATCTAGTCTCCACAATTCTCTGGGGTACAGAATTCCAGGCATTTCCTACCTGCTGGGAGAACAAATTCCTTTGCATCTCAGTTTTAAATGGTTGTCCCTTTACTCCAGAACTACATGCCCTGGTTTGAGATTCACTCTCTCGTGGAAACATCTTATCAACATACACCTTATCAAGTCCCCTCAAAATCTTGTGTTGCAATAAGATCACCCCTCATTCTTCTAAACTCCAATTCATAAAGGCCCAGCCTGCTTAGCTGTTCCTGACATAAGTCAACCCCTTCATCCCAAGAGACTCTGTCTTCTGTGTATTAACCAATCCTCAATCCATGCTTATACATTACCCTCAGTAACATAAGCAACACTATTACTCTTGTGCAATAAACTTTTATGTGGCACCAGGATATCTAAATATATTTCATCTACCAGTTCCCTGTTATCAACTTTGCTCATGTCCTCAAAGAACTCTAGCAAATTTGTCAAACATGACTTCCCCTTCACGAAACCATGTTCACGTTAAGCTTTTCTAAATGTCCTGCTATTTCTTCCCGAATAAGGGCATAAAACATTGCAAGACACGTCATAGCAGTGTTAACAAACACAGTTTGATACCATGCTGCATTGCACAGGTAACCAAAATCTTGCATAAAGCGGTCAGTTTGGAGGAGGGTCTTAAATGAGGTGAGAAAACATTAGAGAACAGATGAGGCTTAGGGAGGGATTTTAGAGTGCGGGGTCTAGTTTGCTGAAGGCTGCAGCTTCCAAGATTAGATTGACTTGCTCTTTGCAGCAATTTAGCAGTGGCCTACCATCCAAAAGGCCACTTATTTCAATGCAGCTGGATCGATCTTGCCCAGATCTATGATACAACTAAAGAGGAAGCTTGTGTGAGTTTGCTTCCAACAAGATGTTTTACCTGACTAAGAAATTCTTATGTTATTTCCCATAATATAAGAAATTGGGAGTGGGTATCATGGTATTGAAGAATCAAACAGACACTTATTATGACCAACTATTCTGTACAAATGTTATATTCCTCATGCGCATAAGTGTCTGGGATAATACCAAGCTATTGGTTACAACAGGGCAGCATAGAGTCATAGAGTTAAAACAGCACGGAAACAGACTTTTCAGTCCAAGTTGTCCACATCAACCAGATATCCTAGACTGATCCAGTCTCATTTGCCAGAGTTGGCCCATATCCCTCTAAACTCTTCCTATTCATATACCCATCATTTTAAATGATGTAATTGTACCCACCTCTACCACTTCCTCTGGCAGCTCGTTCCATACACGTACCACCCTCTGAGTGAAAGTCGCCCCTCAGGTCCCTTTTAAAATTTTCCCCTTTCACTTTAAACCTACGCCCTCTAGTTTTGCACTCCCCTACCCCAGGGAAAAAGACCTTGGCTGTTCACCCTATCCATGCCCCTCATGATTTTATAAACCTCTGTAAGGTCACCCCTCAGCCTCCGATGCTCCAGCGAAAAAAGCCCCAGCCTATTCAGCGTCTCCCTATGCCCCAACCCCTCAATCCTGGCGACATCCTTGTCAATCTTTTTTGAACCCTTTCAAGTTTAACAGCGTCTTTCCTATAGTAGGGAGACCAGAATTCAATGTAGTATTCTAAAAGTGGCCTTACCAATGTCCTGTACAGCCATAACATGACGTGTTTACAGTAGAGCACCATGCTCAAGAGGCCAGAGTTAAGATGGAAATGGAGATTTTTATACACAGGCAATGCTATAACAGCGATTATGTCACGTGCCTTTTAAAACTATGCTGACATCGTGACTGTGAGACATTACAATAACAGGGGTCACATATAAAATTGCTTTTGAGTCACATTGCTAAATCATAAACTTGGTTCCCAATCTTTGTCTGGTGTTTCTTGTAAATCTTGACCAAGCTATCTGCCTCCTGTGCTTAATTTTAGTTCGCTCCTCTTGATCAGTCCTTCATTTGATTGTTGTTTCCCTCCTGATTCAGTCATTTCTTTTCTGAACAAGGAATGAATTTGTCAGATTTAGGTAACAGTGGAAAAGCAAGAGACAGGGGAAGATTTTAGAAAGTGAATACCAGAGATAAGGGCTTAGACAGTGCTGGTAATTGTGTGTTGAAGGTAAAGCAAAGACTTTTATTTATACTAGCACTTTTACAATCACTGGAAGGCTCAAAATGGAATTACAGCCAACAAAGTACTTTTGGAAGTGTATCACTGTTGCTGTGCATGAAATATTGCAGGCAATTTGAACTAAGCCAATTTCCACAAACAACAGCAATAATTGAGTCCCTGTAGTGCAGAAAGAAGCCATTCAGCCCATCAAGTCTGCACCAACCCTCCAAAGAGCATCCCAACCAGACCCAGTGCCCCCTCTCTATCTCCATACTTACCATGCCAATCCACCTAACCTGCACATCTTTGAACTATGGGAAGAAACTGGAGTACTTGGAGGAAACCCACACAGACACAGGGACAATGTGTAAACTCCACTCAAACAGTTACCCAAGGCTGGAATCAGACCCAATCCCTGGTACTGTGAGGCAGCAATGCTGCCCACTGAGCCACTGTGCTGCCCCACTCTAGATTCTGTGATCTTTTTTGTGTAATGGTGACTGAAAGGTAAGTGAGGAGAACTCCCTTTCTCTCTTCAAAATGGATCGTATACATGTCCCTGTGCAGACAATGGGCTTGGTTTAATGTCTCCTTTGAAAAGTGTATCACCTCCCAGAGCAGCACTTCCTCTCTCCTGAACTGCAAGTATTAGCCTTGAGGTTTTGTGCTCTAGACTTGGAGTCAGACTTCAGCACGTCACCACATGTGATTCAGAGCCAGAAGGAGCTGCCAAGTGACTCACTGCTGAGATGCAAGTAATTCAGGGGGATATTCAAGAGGCTGAATTGGAGGAACATGGTGCTGCTGAGTAGTTAACAGAGATAGGCCAGGGAGGCTTTTGAACTAAAGTATATTAAATAGACAGCTGCAGAATAATAACAGCAAATACAGGACCCAAGGCTAGAGAGTCGAGAAACATCAAACATCCCTGCACAAAGCCTGGAATTTGAGAGTTGAATGAAAATGCAAGTTTTGGCAGCTCACGATGGTGCTGGAGAATGACATTATTCAGTGGAGTATGTTAACTGAATCCAAATGACACAGCTGAAGGATGAAAGGGGTCAGATATAAATCTTTGCAGCTTGTAGTTTTAACATGCTTATTTTCATGTTGCTATGTGAAAAAATGGGTGAAGATAGAGAACAAGTAAAAAACGGAGAGATTGAAAAATAGCACATAATAAGTTACAGGTTAAATAATTCTCTGTGTATATCCTGTGCATTGAATTTTTGGGCTTTTTAACAATTCATTCACAGGATGAGGGCATCGCTTGCTGGGCAGCATTTATTGCCCATCCCTAATTTCCCAAAGGGCAGTTAAGAATCAACCACATTGCTGTCGGTCTGGAGTCACATGTAGGCCAGACCAGTAAGGATGGCAGTTTCCTTTCCCAAAGGCCGTTAGTGAACCAGATGGGTTTTTCCTGACAATCAACAATGGATTCATAGTCATCATTTGGCTCTTAAATTCAGATTTTTTAAAAATTAAATTCAAGTTCTACCAACAATTATGGTAGGATTTGAACCTAGGTTTTCAGGATATTATCTGGGTCTGTAGTTTAACAGTCTAGTGATAATACCGCTAGGCCATCGCTTCCCCTTTTTCAGTCTTTTAAGATGAGGTGGTTGACTGGTGATCTCATAAAGGTTATTATGAGGGACAGACGGAAAAGTGAAGTGAGATCATAACCAGCTCAGCCATGATCTTGACAAATGGTGGAGCGGGCTCGTGGGCTTCCTACTGTTGCTAAGTCCTACAATCAAGAAGGCAGCTAATCACCACCTTCTCAAGGGCAACTAGGAACGTGCAACAAATGCTGGCCCAGCCAGTGACACCTAGAACCCATAAATGAATTAAAAAATAAATATACCATCTCAAAGGGATAGAAAAAAATCAACCGAGCATAACACTGGAAACTACAGGATTGGAACTCAAGAACACTGGTTCAAATTAGACAGGGGCGTTTTTAGGACATTCTTCCTTAGACTTATGGAATAAGCTTCCAGATAGAGTAGTGGGGCAAACTCTCATGGAATAATCTCTATACGGTTTGGATTGACTGCATGTGGATGGATATAATATCCACAATCATCATGTTTTGGTCAGAATGTGTACAGGGGGTCTGCAGCTTAGAGGATATGGAGTGCAACAGTGCACTGGTGAAGTTAATAGCTGTCATCTTGACCCAGCTTCAGAACCAGGAACTCCCCTCCATCTAATCGCACAGTATGCTTCCATACAATTGGAGGGAACTACCTCTGTTTTGAAAACAATGGGCAAGTTCATGCTGAATCCCTTTTGCCACAGTGTAACAGGCAAGGGGGCAAAGGAAGAACCATTCAAAGCACTACCATGCAAGAACGTGAGAATGGGAAAGATAGAAAGCAAGGATTACGTTGCACCATTGACAATTGCAGGAAATCACAAAGTGCTTTACAACTGAAGTTCTTTGCGAAGTGTAGTGACTGTTGTAATGAGGTGGCTACACACAGCAATATCCCACAAACATAATGACTCATAGAGTCACACAGCACAAAAACAGACCCCACCCCAGGTCTAACCAGTTCTCTCCGCCCATAATCTCAAACTAAACAG